GAAGATACAAGATGCTTACAGAACACCAAATAGACTGGATACAAATAAAATGTCTTCACACCACATAATAATCAAAACATTAAACATACAGAGTAAAGAAAGAATATTAACAGCTGCAAAGGAAAAAGGCCAAGTAACATATTGATTGAAAGTTTTGCTGGATATAGTAGTCTGGGTTGGCATCTCCCTCTGAGAACCCAGACTCATGCATGGCCCCACCAAGAGTCTCTTAATGTCTGCATAATGCTTGACCAAGACCTTCTGGCTTTCATTGTCTCCATTGAGAAGTCAGATGTAATTCTGATAGGTCCCAGTAATTCCATTGAAATGAGGAACAAAACAAGGTTGTCCACTCTCTCCATATTAATTCAATATAGTTCATTAGGCCCTAGCTAGAGCAATAAGACACCAGAAGGAGATCAAGTGGATACAAACCATAAAAGAAGTCAAACTCTCACTGTTTGCTGATGATATGATAGTTTACATAAGCAATCCCAAACATTCTACCAAAGAACTTATACAACTCAAAAACACTTCTAAGAATGAAGCAGGATCCAAGATTAAATAAAAAAATAGTAGCTTTCCTGTATAAAGATAATAAAAGGGATGGGGAAGAAATCAGAGAATCAACACTCTTCACAATAGCCACAAATAGCATAAAATATCTCGAAGTAACTCTCACAAAACAAGTGAAAGACTTTATGACACGAACTTTAAATCTTTGAAGAAAGAAATTGAAGAAGACGCCAAAAAGTGGAAAGATGTCTTATGCTCTTGGGTAGGCAAAATTAACATAGTAAAAATGGCAATCTTACCAAAATCAATCTACAGATTCAACACAATGCCCATCAAAATCCCAGCAAAATTCTTCAAAGACCTCGAAAGACTGGTACTCAATTTCATATGAAAAAGCAAAAAAAAAAAACCAGGATAGTCAAAACATTCCTGTACAATAAAGGAACTTCTGGAGGCATCACAATCCCTGAATTCAAACTCTACTACAGAGCTATAGTATGAAAAACAGCCTGGTATTGGCGTAAGAACAAACAGGAGGACCAATGGAACCAATTATAAGACCAGAATATCAATGCACACATCTTCAAACACCTGATTTTTGACAAAGAAGCAAAAAATACCAGTGGAAATAAGAAACATATTTAACAAGTGGTGCTGGCATAACTGGATATCAACATGTAGAAGAATGAAAATAGTCTCTATCACCATGCACAAAACTCAGTCCAAATGCATCAAAGACCTCAACATAAAGCCAGCCACACTGAAGCTTATAGAAGAGAAAGTGGGAAGTATACTTGAACACATTGGTAAAGGGAACCACCTCCTAAATAAACCTCAGCAGCACAGACACAGAGAGAAACAATTAATAAATGGGATCTCCTGAAACTAAAAAGCCTCTGTAAAGCAAAGGACACAGTCAACAAGACAAACCAACAGCCTACAGAAAGGGAGAGATCTTCACTAATCCCACATCTGACAGAGGTCTGATCTCCAAAATATACAAAGAACTCAAGAAATTGGTCACCAAAAGAACACATAATCCAATAAAAAAAATGGAGTACAGACCTAAACAGAGAACTCTCAAAAGAGGAATCTAAAATGGATAAAGGCACTTAAGGAAATGTTCAACATCCTTAGTCATCAGAGAAATGAAAATTAAAACAACTCTGAGATTTTGTTTTATACCTGTAAGAATGGCCATGATCAGAAACACTGATGATAACTTATGCTGGAGAGGTTGTGGGGAAAAGGAAACACCTTTACATTGCTGGTAGGAATGCAAGCTGGAACAACCTCTTTGGATGTCAGTGTGGCAATTTTTCAGAAAATTAGGAAACAACATTCCTCAAGACCCAGGAGTACCAATTTTGGGTATATATCCGAAGGATGCTCAATCGTGCCACAAGGACATGTGTTCAATTACATTCATAGCAGCTTTGTTTATCATATCCAGAACCTGGAAACAACATAAATGCCCCCTTGACCGAAGAATTAATAAGGAAAATGTGGTTCATTTACACAATGGAGAACTACTTCACGGCAGAAAACATAACGACATCTTGAATTTTGCAGGAAAATGGTTGAAGCTAGAAAACATTATTTTGAGTGAGGTAACCCAGACACAGAAAGACAGTTATCACTCATAGGTATTTTTTAAACATAAAGCAAAGAAAACCAGCCTATAAACCACAATCCCAGAGAACTTAGACAACAATGATAACACTAAGAGAGACTTACATAGATCTAATCAACATGGGAAGTAGAAAGTAGAAAAGGACAAGATCTCCTGAGTAAATTGGGAGCATGGAGACCTTGGGGGAGAGCTTAAGGGGGGAGCAGAAAGGCAGAGAGGGGAGCAGAGAAAATGTAGAGATCAATAAAAATCAATTTAAAAAGTCTATATAGGCCAGAGAGTAGAATGTGGTGGTTTGAATGGGTATGAACCCCATAAACACATGTGTTGGGTGCTTGGCCTCTAGTGAGTGGCATTTGTAGGAGGTGTGGTCTTCTTGGAGGTGTGTATCATGCTGGGGCTAAATGTTTGAAATCTGTCTCAAGGGACTCCTGTTGCCTGCAGGTCAAAATGTAAAACTCAGGTAACTCTCCAGCACTATGTCTGCCTGCATGTTGCCATGTTTGTCACAAGGAAGATAATGGATTAAGTCTCTGAAACTATAAGCAAGCCCCTATTAAATGCTTTCCTTTATAATAGGTACTGGGTACTGTGATCATGCTGTCTCTTCACAGCTATAGAAACCAGAACCAAAACATAAGTTATTCTCAGAATTTGAGTATCATCATGTTGGTGTGTATTTATTCCACATAAGGAGATGTCACCAGCTTTTCAGTCTTTTGTAACATTCACTGACATGACAGGCTACAAGGTTCTTGGTTTATCTACAAACAAGTATGATATTTTCATTCTTTTTTCTTTCACATTTTATCAATGTTATTTTCTTTTGTTTTTTATTAGCTTAAAACATCTTTTGTCTTTAAGAATTTTTCATATTTAGGGTTTTGTTAGACCCAACCCTTTCTTCCCCTCTCTCTGCCTCCATTCTAGTTTAACTGTTGCATGAACACTATCTCTCCTTCTACTCTCAAATCATGTGTATGTTCTAACCTTCCCCAGTCAATCTCATAAAGACTCTTTATAACACTCTTATGGTGCCCTTTCTAGATTCTTAGGCTCAATGTACATTCATTCCATATAAATATTTACTTCTGGCACCTATAAGTAATAAAGAACTATGTTGAGCCAGGATAGGTCCTTCTGTAGCTCTTCCCTAGGGTGTTCTGCAGTGTCAGTGAATGGAAAAATGAAGACTGCTAGAGTCTCATAAGTCTAAGGTCTCAATTATGTCCCCACTTTGTTTTAAATTCTTCAGATCCCAAGATCAATAGTCAATTTTTTTCCAGTTACTGATTATTCAGCTGCCATTGCCTTGTTAATGATTGTGTAGAGCAATTACAGATTCCTAGGCCTGCATTGTTCAGCCTGCTACTGATTTACAGTAGCTTCTGCCTACTTTTTCAAGAGTACCTCACCTACATCAGAAGATTTCCGATACCTAATCCTGCTGGAATAGTGTATGGTGTGTTGTGAGTTTACTCTGTCTACACTGCACTGAAGGGCTTTCTAACCCTCTGCCTTTTCCCTATCATTTCCACTCTATGACTTCAGGGAGTGGGGTATGATTATCACAGACACAGTTTCAATAAAGACCATAAACATTCTTTCAGTAGCTATCATGCATCAGATTCTGTCCTTCTTGTCATTCCTGCTGGCATACTTTGACTTATTTTATACTGTTGTTCCGTCTATGAGATTTTATAATACCAGGTATCCCTTTTCTCTAATGGCTCTGATATGTTTGTGCACACATGTTTGTATCTATGTGGTGCGATTTGCGTAAAGTTATGATTTAAGAAGATATCTTATCACTTAAACTATAATTCTAATGCCTTAGTATTTTTGATATGTTGTCCTATAAAAACTGTTCAGGGTCAGGTGGTGGTGGTACATGCTTTTAATCCCAGCACTCAGGAGGCAGAGGCAGGTGGATTTCTCTGAGTTCGAGGCCAGCCTTGTCTACAAGAGCTAGTTCCAGGGCAGTCCCCAAAACTACAAAGAAACTCTGCCTCAAAAAAAAACTGTTACAGGGTAAAGAACCAAATTCCATTCAGCATGATGAAACTTGAAATTGAGAGTCTGCTTTAAGTGGACATGATTATTTATTGCAAAGAAACATTTCTCACAGTGTTGCCTCTAATTCATTTTACAGGGAGCTTTAAAAGGCAATCAAACCAGAACAAGTATATCCTGCATGATAGTTTACAGAAGTGGGTGAGGAGCGATCAAACAGGATAAAAGAAGCTAAAAACATGCAGTGATTTGAGACATTTTGACTGCCAGTTTCAAGAATCGGGTTGGGTACTTTTCCAAGAGAGTCTTCAAGAAAAAAGTAGGAAGGGGAGAGCTAATTTCAGATTAAATCAAAGGGGGCTATGCATGAGAAAAGATGAAGGGTCATTTGCCATGCCACAAAGCCATAGATATATTCTCAGTGGCATTATAAATTTCTCATTCCATATCTCTAAAACGATACATTAAGCATTGATATAATTAATTTTTGGACATTGTTGAAGTAGTTTTTATTAGCATCATGACCGGATAATATTGTACTCTGAAAGTCTTGCATTACACTTCTTTATATGGACTGTCACTTTTCATTGTTACTCATGAGCCAATGTCACAGCATTCTGAATGGTTCATTTTCTCTGAAGTTTGGTATCTCTCCTTCATCATTAGGTATATTCTAATCTATTGTTCATCCTCACAGTAACATACATATAAAATAATATATATACATATATATATATATATATGCTTCCTCCTCTACTGCAGGCTGCATACATTTGTAAGTAATAATTTACCAGAAGAATAGTGGGGCCATATTCTAAAGGAAATTGCACCAAGACACAGAATGAGCTTGTGGAATCTGACTATCAGCATTATTTTGTTATCACAAACTGCGACTGGAATACTGGGAAATTTCTCTCTAATTTTCTACTATCTAATCCTTTACTGCAGAAAATTCACATTAAAGCCCACAGATGTGATTCTGATGAACGTACTGGCAGCCAATGCCTTGATCATTCTCTCTACAGGAGTGCCCCAAACTATGGCAGTTTGGGGACTTAAGCAATTCTTGGATGATTTTGGATGTGAGCTCCTGATGTACATTCAAGGATGTGGTAGGAGTGTGTCCATTGCTACTACTTGTTTCTTGAGTGTCTTTCAGACATTGACCATTTGCCCCAGGAAATCTTGCTGGAAGGATCATAAAGTCAAAGTTGAGAAGTACATCAGTTGCCACATTTTCCTCCTCTGGATCCTGTACATGTCCATAAATTTTATTTATTTTTCATACACAGTTTTCAAGAGGAACAGAAAAAATGTGTCACAGAAACGAGATTTTGGATACTGCTCCACTGTGGGGCGGGATGAAATTGTTGATTCACTCTATGCAGCATTGGTGGTTTGCCCTGAAGTCTTTCTTTCTGTGATCATAGCCTTGTCCAGTGGCTCCATGATTATCATTCTCTACAGACACAAGCAGAGGGTTCAACACATTCGCAGCACTCATGGTTCCAGTAGAATGTCGCCTGAGTCCAGAGTCACACAGAATATTCTGATCCTTTTATCTACCTTTTTGGCTTTTTATACTCTCTCGTCTATCTTAAGAGGCTGCATTGCTATTTTAAATAGTCACAACTGGTGGCTGGTGAGTATCAGTAACCTGACTTCTCTGTGTTTTCCATCTTTTGGACCCTTTGTTCTCATGAATCATTACTATATTGTGTCCAGGCACTGTTTTGTCCTGATAAGGAATAAAAATCACTGATTTTCATTTTAATTACAAAATGATATGTTTTGATTGGTATCCAGTTGTTTGCTGACCTGTCACACTCATAAAGTTAACACAGAAAGTTAAGTAGGTAGCACCTTATCTTTTTAAGATTAACTGAAATGAATATGGGAGTATAGTCAGCTGATTGGATTAGCAGCCTTAATGAGCTGTTCATATTGTTTGAGGCCCACCATAATCTCGTAGCTGAGAGTGTCTTTACTTTGACCACCTGATGTTCGAAGGACCCAGGAAAAAGCTGTCAATAAAAGTGACCTATTTGTGGCTTTCATTCTGTCAGGAGTTCTTGGCTGTTTGGTGGTTTCACAGACAGATATGTGTTCTACATTCTACCCTAAAGGAAAACTGAAATAGTTCTTGGCAATTAACTTGTTCCTCAGGAAGCCCTGATCATTAAAGAACTGCTCTAGCCTATCCCAATACCAGAAAATAAATAGGCTTAATACATTCCACTTCACATAAAAATTAATAATAATGAAAGGGGGCTTTGGTGTATCCTGAATTTTGTTTGCTATTATTTTATTGAGAATTTTAGCCTTATGGGTATTGACTCATTTATTTCCTTTATTGTTGTTCTATCTTTATCTGGTTTGACATCAATGTAATGCTGGCTTCATAAAAAGAGTTTGAAAGAATTTATACAGCCGATACGGTAATCTGTCTTGGGGTTTATAAAAACAATGGAAAATGGAACTACTATTTGACCAAGATATTTCACTCCTGGGTCTATATCAAGAGATTTCCTTATCATACACATTTTAACATCCATTTTCATTGCTGTTCTATTTATTATAGCAAGAAAATAGGGCCCGCTTACATAACCAAAAAGAGAAAAATAGAAAAGTAAATATGTGTTCTTAAGTAAAATTGACTATTAATTGACCACAGTAAAAGATGAAATCACAAATGTGTAGGAAAATTGATGCACTTATAAAAGATAATTTTAAGCTAAGTCACAAAATCTCACAATGAAACAGGATCACATGGTCTCCTTCATATGCAGATCCTAGCCTATAATGTATACATGTATATATGTAAATGGGTACCAGTACAACTTCATTATAGCATTTAGAAAGGATACTAAGAACATAGAATTAGGTAATGAACAGGTAAATGCATCCATGATTTCTCAAAGAGGATATACGAATAACTATTTTGTATTTTTTTACTTTGACATTTTTCATTTTCTGGTGCAAAGGGGCATAAAAATGTAATTGCTAGTGACAATGTAAAACCCCAAGCAAAGCTGTATGGCTTTAGCATTGCTATTCTAACTATATAGAAGTTCATTGAAATGGACAGAATTTTGGCTTGGACAAGTTTTCCTATGAATGGATATTTCATGGTTACTCTTTAATGCTTTTCTTTCTAATTTCATTATAATAAACTGTGTAACGGCATAAACGAATGCAGACAGATTGTAAAAATGTATACAGCTTTAATGGTGAAATAGACTAACAGAACCACTGTTCCCGCGGAGACCAGGAAAGCAGAAGCAAGCGCTGTGAGCATGCTCACCAGATTTATAGGTAAACATTAGCCCGAGGCGAACATGCCCCCTAAGGGGCGGGACTTATCCCTACATCTCCCCTTTTTGTCTAAATAAGACAGAACTAAACAAAATACAACTATATACAATAATAACAAATAATAAATATAACAAACAATATTGAGAACAAAAGTTTTGCTAAACATTCTATCTCAAGGAGTCTAAATAATGTAGAGAGTAACTACAATTATATAATCTTCAACTCCATCAAAGATCCGAGAAGGGAATAAATATTACTTAACAAACGAGATATATCCAAAATGTGCAACAATTGACAGAGACAACTGGGCAATCACCCAAGGTCTCGTTTGCAATGTTGAGTCAACCAACTTTGGCTAAAGCCTAACATAACTGACGTACCATTATTAAAGGCAAGGAACTTTTCAAAACTATCTTACCCTGTCATGGCAGGATATGACAGTCCTGTTTTATCCATTGATGCACTCTCTGTATCTCTGTCAGTGGTTGAGGTATGGGCATTTCTTTGCCCAAAGGCCAGTTCTGCCAAAAAGAAAGGCTCCAGGTGGAGTGTCTTTGGTGCTCAACATTCTCTCGGGAATAAAGCAGTGTTGCCAGGAGCAATTGTGTCTCACTATCACAAAACTCTGAGTTAGATTAAAGGCCATTTTCTACACCTCTTTGAAGAGGTCGAAGATTATCTATCTATATTGAGTATAATCTCTATATATCTAAAGAACCTGATTAGTCTAATTATAAATGACAAACTTGGATGACTATTAATCTATATAATCTCAATATCTATCTAACTTAAAGACTAAGACAATAAACAACTGTGTAACAAATGAGGATAATGACCTCCAAACATAAACACTGTACAAATATACATTGCAATATGGTAAATATATATATATCAATACACAAACGTTATATAAGTGTCTTAATCAGAGGTAGAAATGTACACTGCAATATGGTAAATATATATATATATCAATACAATATATGTCAATACATAAAATATGTTTTAAACAGAGGTAGAAACATGCATGCATACAATAGTCAATATAATTTAACTTTGTATCAATATACAAGAATCGATACCAATATATTTGTCTAAAAACAGTAACTCACAATTATATATCTATTATCCCATCATTCCCTCTTTTTTTTTTCAAAATGATCCCTGAGCTTATAAAATTCCTCCCCCAACCTCCCAACCCCTAAATGATGTCCCTAAACCCAGGGGCAAACTTTACTGGGAGAGGGAACGTCGTCCTCTAGAATTACTTCCAGCTGTCATGGGGGCGATGTTCTTTCTGGGGCATCCTGTGAAAGTAAAATGATGGTTAAATTTCAAGATCAATGTCTTTTAAAATTGCAAATAGTCTCTGAGTATTTTGTGGAGGTCTGGCCAGAATGTAGTACAAGATGTGCACCATTTCAGCTAACCAAGTTGGGATCATCTTATGTAGCTGGTACCCAAAACAGGTCTTGTAGTAGCGCTATCAGTATCATGATATCATATCAACCAGGTAGAGTTGTTGTTGTGGGGCCCCATCTTCTTCCTGGAAACTTCAAATGTCACTTCGGGAAAAACTCATTGTTCATTGTGAAAAACTTAAACATTAATCATATAGACATATATAGATATATAGATATATATATTCAATGAAAGACATGATAGATATATTCAATGAAAAGTATGATAGATACGAAGAAAAGCAAAGATGTTTTCTAAACTCATATTTCTTTCTGTCCCACATCATGGCTCTTGACATAAGACAGAAACTCTGGGTTTTTCTCTTACTAACAGGCTTGGAATTGGAGAGGGACTGAGCCAGAGTCCAACTTCAAAACCAGCTCTACATATTTATAAAGAAATGTTTAATAAGACATATATATAAAAAATTAATACTTACAAAATGTGTCCATCCATCAGTAATTAAATATTCAGGGTCCCTTAATTTCTTTGAAGAAGAGTATTTTCCTGTGGAGATAAGAAAAGAACCATGCCCCCAACCTATCTGTATTTCTTACCATCAGTATGCTCGTCATCCTTGTGAATGAATTGTTATTTATCTTTTCCAAGTGTCTTCTCTTCTTCAAACCGAACCTTTATTAATTTTGACGGTATCCACAATTTTCCTCACCTATGGAGATAAGAACAAAACCCCTTCCATTGTGAGGTCAACACATCCTTGAAATAAACTGGTTGATTTAGTTCAGTAGACTTTTCCATTATCCAATGTCTTTCTGCAGCCGTTGTTCCCTTCTCATTAGCATTGAGAAAATTCAAGGTTAACAAAGCATTATGTAACCTATTTCTGGGGGTGTTTTCCACCCCTTTCTGTTTGTTCAACATATCCTTTATAGTTCGATTTTATCTTTCTATGACTGCTTGACCTGTAGGATTGTATGGTATACCTGTAACATGCTTGATATTGTAATAATCAAAAAACCGTTTCATTTTCCTAGAGACATAAGCAGGACCATTATCTGTCTTTATTTGTGTAGGTATACTCATGATAGCCATGACTTCTAAGAAATGAGTGATTACTGAATCAGCTTTTACTGAACTTAAAGCAGTTGCCCACTGAAAGCCTGAATAAGTGTCAATGGTGTGATGAACATATTTTAATTTGCCAAATTCTGCAAAGTGGAACACATCCATCTGCCGGATTTCATTCCTTTGGTTGCCCTTTGGATTAGCCCCTGCAGGCAGTGGCATTTGGTTATAGAAAGAGCAAGTAGGGCATTTCTTTACAATCTTCTTAACTTGTTGCCATGTAATAGAAAACTCTTTATTCAAACCTTTGATATTAACATGATGTTTTTTATGAAATTCAGAGGCTTGTAGCACACTACCAATCAATAATTGATCAATTTCTGTGTTACCTTGTGCTAGAGGACCTGGCAGACCCGTATGGGATCAGATGTGTGTTATGTACATAGGGCAAAGCCTGTTCCTGATCAAATCTTGAACCTGGAGAAACAATCAGGTTAGTTCTGTATCATCAGGAATAAATTCAGCAGTTTCAATATGTAAAATAACTCTTTCTGTGTATTGTGAACCAGTAACTATATTAATAGGTTCTTTAAAATCCCTTAGCACCATAAGAATGGCATATAATTCTGCCTTCTGGACAGAATCATAAGGACTTTGTTCTACCTAAAAGTCTTCTGATTTGTAACGTGCCTTCCCTGATTTATTTTCATCAGTATAGAATGTATGGTCTCCAGTTATTGGAGCATCACGGACGATGCGAGGAAGAATCCAAGAAGTTCTCTTTTTGAAGTTAACCCTCTTGCTTTTTGGATAGTTGTTATTAATGTCTCCCAAACTATTAGCACAAGCTCTTTGCCATGGTTCATTATCTTCCCATAATTTCTTTAGCTCATCAGCAGTGAAAGGCACTATAATTTCTGCTGGGTCTATGCCTGCTAGTTGATGAAGTCTCAGCTTGCCTTT